TTGATTCTAATGCTTTTTTTCCTCCCTTCTCCACGAGTAAAAGCACATCAATGCCACATGCAAGAAAGCAGCTGCTCAGAGCAGTGAAGTGCACACCGAAGTCAGTTTTTCCCTCACTGGGAAAGCCAATGTGCTTTTCAAAACCGAGTTAGATGAGTTCACAGAGAACAGGTCAGTGAGTGGGCACCCAAAGGACTGGGCAGGACTCGACCCTGCCTGGTGCCTGGCAGGTCTGGATGCTGCTGGAGGAGCTGGGAGCAGCACACGGGACACGTTCAGGCTTCTCCTCAGCATCATCTTCATCACACTCCTGGGCTGGAAAGGCCCCTGATCTGAAGCCAGATCTTCTCAAACAAGGACAAAAACTTCTTTAGGAGCGCTTCCACAAAGGCACACAGGGCTGGAGCCACTCCCTGCCCAGGCTGGGTCTGTTTGTTCTGGCTCCCAGCTCCCACCCAGCTCTGCACAGGATGCACGAAACAATCCATCCCCCTTCCCACTTCGAACCATTGGAAGTGTTTTAGTTTGGGCTGTCTTGAGCTCTTCAAGCTTCAGTAAGGACTTAAAAAAAAAAAAAATCCTCATTTGAGGAGAGGAAAAAAAAAAAAAAAAAAAGATGTTTTATAAGGAAATAGGCAAAAGCATTGTCAGAATGCTCCAAACTGCTTATGTTCCCACAGTACTTGCAGCCACACACAGAACTTCTTGAACTACCAGATCACTGCATGACCAAGAAGGGAGCCACTGAGTGCATGAGAAGGAAGTGACTCAGACTGAAATTCATAAAGGACAGCATGAATGGGACAGGATTTCCGCTTACAGCTCTTTTTACATGGCAAGGCTCCTTTACAGAAAAAAAACAAAAAAAAACCCAACCCACAAAAAACCCAACCCTGCTCCCTCCTCTCCCATTCAGTTTTTGAAACAGCTCTGTGGAAAAGCTCCAATATGGATTTTAAATCAGAATCCCAGTATCATACCTGCAAGCCTTCTACCTTACAAGACACCATCCATCATCCTACCAGAAATACTCAGAAGAAGTGCTAATTTTTCAGTCAAATACAAGCTGTTTCCTTTTTTTTTTTTTTGCCTTAAAACAGCCTGTTTCCTAGAAATCTTTATTTACAAGTGCACCACCCAACACAGCATGATGCAGTCAATGCAAAGGTCAGAATTGCTCTTATAACCCCAATCAGAAACGGTAAATTTCCTAGTAAAAAGAGGATGTTGCTATGTTATAGAACCACCCTGGGATAAGGGTGTGTTATAGAAGCACCAACTTATTTTTAATGCACCATCACGCTGTGCAGAGCACAGTGGTGCATAGGCTGGATCCATAACTCGAGAGGTGGCTAAACAAAAGTACTCCAGAGTAATATACTTCAGAACTGTTGATCTATAACCCCATTTCTTCTACCAGTGGTGAAGCAGATTTTTGGGGGAATGCTTCCTTCTTTTTATATTGGAGGGAAGCTGGAAGTTATTGATAGGTGGCAGAATTTTCCTTGAGCACTTACTCAAATTTCATTGGCATAATACATTAAATGAGGACAGATTTAGATGGAAAAGTACATTTTTAAATTAAATACCACATATACTGTGATTTTTCAGTGAAAAGGGTCGAGTTGTCCTTGCATTGTACAGTGGACATTTTCTTCAATATTATTCACATGAATGGATTGGGTTGGACCTTAAAGATCCTCTCATTCCAGCCCCTACCACAGGCAGGGACCTCTTCCACTATCCCAGGTTGCTCCCAGCCCCATCCAGCCTGGCCTTGGACACTCCCAGGGATCCAGGGCCTCCCCACCCTCACAGGGAAGAACACCTTATATTATATATTCTTCTATTATATAGATATATATTCCTATATATTATGGGATATTTCCCATCTAACCCTGCCCTCTTTCAGTTTAAAGCTATTTGCCCTGTCCTGTCACTCCATGCCCCTGTCAAAAGCCCCTCTCCAGGGGCTCTGAGGTCTCTCCCCTTCTCCAGGCTCAGCCCTCTCAGCCTGTGTTGATAAGGAAGATGTTCCAATCCCCTTATTATTCCTGCAGCACTGTAACAACCTCAGCCACAGCAGAGTGGGTGTGCTAAGGAAGGAGTAACACACTCCTCAGAGAAATCACTACCAAGAAACAAGGAACAGGACAAGCATCACCCCAAGCACAGGGGCAGCAGATCCAAGAACAGAAACTCCCATCCTCCCCATCATGAACATCCGTGTGTGGATCATCTTTCTGTGCTGATGAAAGCAGACTCTCCAATTGCCTCTCTGAGCATCAGCTGGGGCTGCTTGCTGGGAGAGGAGCCCCTGGTGAGCTGCCACCCACACTCCCAGAACTGAGGCAGCTCCCAAACCTTGCTTCAGGCAGCCCAATTCCCAAGGAGAGCAGTCACTGTCAGGCTGCAGCACTGTGCACTGACACAGGCTGCTCTCTGCAGCAACCACAGCTGAGCCGTGCAAGTGGCTGCTCCAGCTGTGTCCGGGGCTCCTAAAGCCCCCTCCTTGCCAGCAGCTGGATCCTGGGATTGCTCCATCATCCAACCACCCAAAAGAAGCCAGCTCCACTGCAGGAGCACACACACCCCACGGCCAGATAGGAAATGATAGGCTGTGAGGCATATCACAATCCCAATTAAAAAATTCACGCAAACAAAACCCTCAGCTCCAGCTCTCCTTCAAGTTACTCCAAGTTTTACTGCAGATTCAAACATTCCTTCCTCCCTCCTAAAGAGTTTTTTGGTTAAGCGGTTTTCTAAATAAAGATTTCTCCACAAGTTTTATACATACATATACACATTTTTATATATTTATGTACCTAAAAATAGGTTTTCCAGGCTATTCTGCAATTTTGGAAGCAGTCACACAACACCATCAAGTTTTTAACTATTAGCAGGCTTGAAGACATACACATCCACAAAACCTTTAAGTTTAAATCCCTTCTCTACTTATTACTTCTGACACATTCATTTTTTCTGGCTATTCTAAAAACTGTCGTCTTAGCAGCATAAATCAAATTAGCAACTGCGCCCATACTGCTGTTAAGTCTCACCCTAATTACCTGTATGGCCAGGTTAGTCAGGTATTCATCAATAAATCCCCAAATAATTAAAGAAGAAACAGAAAAGGTAAGCATAAAGTGACAGATATGATTACAAGCTTGTAAATATCAAATGGGAGCTTCTTTTAGGGACCTGCTTAATGAGAGCCTTTAAGAAACTTTGTGACTTTTCTGCAGAAATTTGCATCTAACTTTACATGCATGACTGTAATAATACATTGATGTCAAAAACCTCACATTTGAGTCCACAGTTTTTCTTGTAATATGAAACAAATTCTCCTATTCCTGCTTTGGCCCTGGACTTGCTGCAGAGCAGCTGACACAACTCCAGGGCTGCCACTTGTGGGTGTAGATGCAGAACCTGATTTTAAAAGGCAGAAGGGTGGGACAAGGGATGTTTTTTGCACAGCCTTCTGTTAGGGACTTTTCCCCAGCTGGGGAGGACTCCATTCCTTGCTCTTCCCAGTCTGAAGGCATTCTCTGCCTGACAAGACTGGACGTGCTGTAGTCTTGACTCCACTGATTCTCTTGGCATTTTAAAACTGCTTGTGCTCCTCAGCTGCAGCACAGCAGATCAGTCCAAGGCAACAAATTAGACAAACATAAGGGTTGCAGGAAACCCTTAGACAAGATGCTTTTAAATTATTTCTAGATTATTTCAGAAGTAAACAGTCAGGCTGACTCAGTACCCACTGAACCAATATTTTAAGACTATACTTTTTTTCAGGTCTTTCACACACAGGCTTGAAACACCTCATATATTCCACCTCAAATAAACACCTAAACATAAATAAGAATACTGAAGTTCACATAAGCTGACTGGGAAGAAATAACTAGAAAGTCTAATGCAGTGGTTCATTTTCTTGGATTACAGCATTCCCAAATACAGCTCCTTGCTAATTCTAAAGACCCTGAAGCATGTCTGCAAATCCTCATTCTTCACCACGTCAGCAGCATTTTTCCCTCTCTTTGGCTATTAATTTTCACAACTATTTCTTTCAGTTCTGTCTCACATATAGAGCCATATAAATATACACTATAGATAGAATATGGAAAACCTATGCTTTAAGCATAAATTAATTCAAGATATATCAGAGTGTGCTACATTATGAATATCCTGGACATGCTGCTTTGGTTACTACATCAGAGTTTTTTCAGGCAGCTGCTGCTGCAGCAGTCAGCAAAGAGACAAGCAGAGAGGAGAAAGGCAGGTAGGTAAAAGGGATTGTAAAAAACTACTAAACTAAATCTAGGTAGAACTGGCTGTGTGCAGAATGGCTTGTTATAAATGAGATTTGATAACAGTAAAGCATTGGGTTGTTCATCTGAAGTGTTAAATTTTTAAATGACAAGTCTCTGAAAACGCCAAAGAAAATTGTTTCAAAAGTAGCCAGATTTGACTACTATTTCCAATGGCTAACATGAAGAAATTTCATCTCAGTTTTGTTTTCAAGTAATCTTACTTTCACTGAATTTTCACATGAAAAAAATCCTTGGTTTTTCAGTCATCACCTCTAAACTTTCTTATAACTTCACCAGGTCAACCTAGGATATGGAAAATAGTGGTTCCTAGTAGTCAGATTTTGGTTATAGCTTAATTGTCCATGAAGATTTTTGTGAAGTGCCAAGGTGCCTCTCCGAAAAGCAAAACAAAACCAAGACCTCACCCACAAAACACATTTCTGCTTCCAACAGACAGAAAATGAACAATGCTGCACCTACCAAGGAAGCAGTCACAAAAGATGGGGAGGCACTGGGTTCACCTTACAAAACAAACCCAGCCTAGCAAGCCCAGCGTTCTTATTTAAGTTCACACCATATTAACGCGTGGGCGGGGAGCGTTTCTTGGCCGCTGGATCCACACAGAGGAGGCCACAAGCTGGAAAGGTGCAATAAAAAGGAATTAAAAATAAATAAACCCCCTCTTTTTACCGTGTGGGTCTTGTTCATTTGACTTGGGGCTGCTCCTCGCTCTGCGCTCGGGTTTCTTCAGGGCTGGGGCTCCTCCTCCGCCGCTGCTCGCCCCGTTGTGGCTCTTGGCATAGCCATTGTACACCGTGGTGCAGCTGCCCAGGTGGCTCTTGTAGATGGAGGAGGGAGGGCTGTTCAGGCGGTTCTGGCGGTCAATCTGCCTGTCTTTGAGCTTTTTGTGCTGTGGTTTGCTGTACTGATCCTCCCTGGTGATGTAGCTGGACATGCCGTATAGTGGTATGATTTCTGAAACGGAACGGTTCACCCGCCTTAGCTCGGAACAACAAAAATCACTGAGGGTTTTATTTTTACCTGAAATTCAAATTCCTGGCCACCTCCAAATGAAATTGCTCCGCCTGTTCCTAGACATTTTTAGAAGAAAACTCTTTTTTGCAATTATTTTGTATCAACTGTGATCCTTTGATGACAGAATTTTACTTTGGATGAGCGTGTAAAATACCAGTGTTAGAGTGATGCTTTTCCCCTCCTTTTAAGTCTTTGTGTTTCAGGGACACAGATTTCAAGCAAAAATTCAGACAGAACTGATCTTTTGGAAGAAGCCTTTATAAATTCAGAGCAATTTAGCATTTTCTTCCTCAGGGCCTGACTGGACAGAACAAGGTGAGATGTGCTGGTTTCAAATTGCCAACCCTGGATCACATGCAATTTAATTTCCCAGTGTAAATAAACTTTAGAATCGTGTCAGTTGTGCTGCCTAAGGAGAGAAGTGCAACATGAAGTAGAAGCTTTGGGAATTAAAATTATCTAAAAAAAGTTTGAGAATTATCATAAATATCATGTACACTCTTCAGATACACTACATTAAATACAATCCCCACTTCCCCCTCCAAGGATGACTCTTTCTAAACCTAAGGCATGTTAGCTTGCAGGGATCACAGTATTTCCTGATTTTTTTCTATAATTCAATCCTCCTTTTTGTGCTTCACTTTGAGTGTGAACCTTGAAAATATTATGCTCAAACCATTTTTTTCTTTGTCGGCAAAATAAAAATATTCTGGAGAGCTACAGCCCATCACTAAGGATATTAAAGGAAGCTCCATCCATGCAACAAAGCTTTCTTTTCTTCACTTCATTCCTACTCTTGATTCCCCCAGCCCTCACACCTTGGTGAACACAGGTGTGAAAGGCCAGTCCCAGCTCACCTTGTTCTCCATATATTGTTGGGGGAAGATGATGCTGCGGGAAAAACTGTGGTGGCATGTCCCCAGGTCCAGTGACAGGAGGGTAAAACGCTGTGTGGGAGTTGTGGATGAAGTGGGGATGGTGTGCCAGGTAGGGGGGCAGGTGATGGGTTGGCGAGATGGCCGAGGGGTAGCTGGGAGGGAAACACTCCGGGGACTGCGGCGTCACCACCACCCTCCGGACGCCCGTGCTGTCTTCTATCACCTGCAGAGAAAGGCAGGGAAAGGAGCACGTCAGGCAGCATCTGAACCAGGCACATCTCTAAAGCAGCACTGTTTACAGCTTGTCCTCCCACTGGCAATCAGCTGGTCCTTGGGTTTAGCTTCATGAATAAACACAATTCTAAAATTAATATCAGCAGAAATAACCGCGGTGGTGATGCGGCTTTTCCTGCAGACTCAGGTATCCACACTAATCACTGGGAGCTGTACTGCTGCTAGTGATAACTGTGTGGGTTAAGGGACAGAATAAATAACCTGCATTTAGGGAGGAAAACAATTGAAAAAGGAACACAAAGCACCAAAATAAGCACACTCATCAGGACTGACCTTACATTCTACCCATAAAAATTCTACCACGGATTTTGACAGCGCCCTGAGAATGGAGTTAGTAACACTTTGGAAAGCAGCTGGCACTGCTATTGTGGAGAGGCTGTGTGTGCACACAGCCATGTACTCTGCAGGAGCCTGCTGTGCTGGCCCACACTTGCAAAGGAGCTGCTCTGTTCATAACAGAGGTAGCTGCTGAGGACAAACCATAGGGCAGAGGGTTTGTTTCTGTTGCAGAGCTGGTCTATACATCCACACAAATCACCTCTGGGATACGCACACCTTGGCCCCTAACACCATAGGCAAAGCACGTAAAAACAGATGTAGGAAGGTGGAAATGTGCTTAGGCTGAAAAATGTTTTTCAGGTTATAATTTTTCCAGAGTTGTATTTCTGGAGAACAGTCAACCAACCAAATTTCAATCCAGACTTAGGAACCAAGCTTTCTTGAAGCTCATTCAAAAAACTTCTGCCATTTCTTAAATAAAAAAATACAACTACATAAGAACAATTACTGTCCCTTTGACTGTATACTGGCATGCACAAGGTAGAAGAGCATGAAGGAAGCATAATATAATTTCATAGAACAAACAGGTTGCTGAAAACCCCATTTTCTCTAAACTAACTGATGGCACACAGATGGAGCAGTATCTGTGATGAATATGTTGTATGAGATAAGTGAACGTGTACCTGCTGCAAGATGCTGCCACTCCCAGCTGATTCCCAGAGCATCAGCTGCAGTCATCCACCCCCAGCAGCACCAGCACAAGAGACTCTGCTGTGCATTTCCCACACTCCAGTGGCTCTCATCACACCCCAGTGTCTTTAAACCACAAAGAAAAATCTGTACCCTGGAGCAGAGGAAAGGCAGAGGCAGGTGGCTGTGCTACCTGTGCCTCCCAGGACCAGCCCTGCCCAGGGGCAATGCCCACAGCCCTGAGCAGAACTGCTCTCCCAAACACCAGCTCCTGCCTCAGGCAACAGCTGAGCAAGGTATCACAGGGGAAAATTCACCTAGGAATAGCTGACCCAATTCCTCCCCCAGGCCATGTGTGCCCTCAGGCTATGTGCATTTATGCCTGTTAGCTATGGGATGTGACCAGGACAATTTCTCTGGCTTGGCTGGCCTCTATAGAAGATCATTTTCTATAGAAAGTTAATTCATCCACTTGTAACATTTCACATTAAAAACGTGTTGCTTGCTGAGTAACCAAAATAGTAATTGTCTGGCTTAACATACTTGATTATACCCTCAAAATTTATGACTTCCACTAGTAATTTGTCAGCTGCCAGCTTTAAATTTCAAAGACTTTACAGTGTCCTCAAACGACAGCTGAACCTCAGAGATTTAGACTATCACATCCTTTCAACTGCTGCATTTTCAGGCTTCCCATCTCTGCTACTGGTTCTGCTCCACAGCATCTCTTATCCTGCTACCACGTCTCAAACCTGCACTCTGAAACCTGGAGAGAAATCCTTTTCCATTCAGCACGTATGTGAAAAACAGAACTACTTATCTAAGACTGTGCACAGAAACGCTGGATTTAACTCTCAGACTCAACTCATGCAGGCACTTAATTGAGAAAGCAAGTTCCTACATCCTGATATGAGAGGTTTTCATCGTGGCTTTAACTAGTCCAAGCCTCAAAGCCAATTCCAAGCTCTTATCTCTTCATCTAGACCAGCTACATGTGCCTTTTGTGCTCTGGTGAAAGATGAATATATTAAGGAACAGATTTAGACAGAAAGCTTGTACACTGAGCAGCACATAATATAAACCATATTTAAAATTATTAGGATTCAGCTTCCTGAACTATCATCTATAAAGCAGGGAGGAAAGCTCAGAGTCCTGTCAAAGATCTTTTTGATGAAATTACCCTGCTAGACAAAGCTATAAAATATCAACAGGACTGACAGAAGCCAGAGATGAGGGGATAGAGTAGAAAATTTCAGTTGGGAAGAACCTAAAACCATCAACTAGTCCAACTCAAAGGAAGAGCCAATCTTCCACATTACTTTAGTCAAAAAGCCAAGGCATTAATCTCTTTTATTTGTTTCCTCCCAGGCCATGAACACCAACAGCATTCTTGTTATTCCGTGTACACACATTGCAAATGAACACAAAAACACAGGGGACCTTGCAAAACCCACTTTATTTCCCAATCCTACAGGGCATTTTCTCTCTAAACTAGGAATTATTGATATACATGCACATTTCTGAAGCTGTACAATCTTTAAATTATTCTGTCCTTAACAAATCAAAGTTGGTAATCTGATTTATGTGTTACATGCATTAGGTAGCTATAAAGACTGGAGATACCCCTTGATCTGTAAAACCTCCAGTGAGCAGATTGTAGTAGTGCCATTCTGGGAGACAACATTCAGTTCATCAAAGATAGATAAAATCAGTTTTGATCCATTAATGAAAAAAACATAACTTCGCAGAGAGGTTCAACTTTGCTATTTTAAGGAGAAATCTGCAGTTCTTTGTATCTGCTTAAAACCATTTGTCACAAAGATCATAAATTCATCTGGAAACACACTGCTAAACTGTCTCTACTTCAGTGCCAAGAATCAACCAAATCCTAATCCCTCTTGAGGTCTCTAGATGCAACTGGAATATTAAAAGTAATCACTATTACTAATTTTAGCACTTTATATTTAGAGAAAACAAATATCTCTGGTCATCTGGAGCTTAGAGAGAAACTTGCATTATTTTGTGGGTTTTTTTCAAACAGTTAGTAGGTAAATTGTATTTTGCTGGTATTTTTTGTGCTCGCTGGTGGCAACCTGCAAAACTGGCATGCCACCTCAATAACAATACTATTATAGCATAGTTCTGTGTGGGTTTTTTCCCATATTTTAGGGAGCTTAATTGCTACGTGAGGTAGGTGATGATCTTTCAGGGCAGTCTGGGTTAACATTACTCATACACAATAAAACTGCCTCCCCCATTGCTTGCCACATTTTGGGAATGCCATTTTCAATGTTATTTGTTTTCCAGTGCAGATATCACTGTAGTAACTAGAGATAATTCACGTGTTCAAAGTACATCACACTGCTCCATGTTGTCTCTTTTTTCTCCACTGAAATTTAATATTACACTCTAAGGAAAAAGGCATGTTAATTGTGCACAGGTAAATCATATCTGTATTTTGTGAGACCCAGTTAAAGAAACAACCACCCTCATTCTGTAACATCCCTTTACTGTACGTGTTTATATGGTAATATGCAAGTAATTTCCACTTACTTTCAAAAAAAAAAACAACAAACAAATAACCCTTATTTCACTTAAACTTAATGTGCTAGATTCAGCAAGAACATCTGGAGCATGGCCACTGGGTGGACTACAACCAGTACTTCACAAACTTCATAAACTAATTTGAAACTTCATTCATAAATCAATCTGTACCCAAAACCAGTACAGAATGAGCTCATCCACGAGGCACTTGGATGTCAACATTTTATTTATTAATTTAATTTCTTAAAGATGCCAATCCAAGTTCACACCAGTCGTGGCAAGTTTGCATCACTATCCTTAGAATCCATCAGTATTAAATCAAACACCAAATTAAATCTACATCTTCAGTGTGGAAAATAGACAGATAAATATCTAGAATGCCAGCAAGCATGTTGGGATACTTTAATCTAGACTGATACAGCTCTTCAGGACCAGTGCCTATAAACTTAAAAAGATCATCACTTCATGTCTTGCTCCATATGAAGTTTGCACAACTTTCCTTGTGTTTAAACTTTAATGAGGATCATCCTGTTAAAGGATGCCTCTATTGACTGCAGTCTACAAAACACCTGGAGCACCTCTATGAGCAGTTAGCCACATAAAAACAAGGAGATTGTGACTAAAACCTGATGCTAGTCAAACATGCTTTTGGAGAAGATCACCTCTCTTAGGGGACAGGATGTACCCAGGACCAAAATCCTGGTTTTCAAGGATGGGATAAATTTTCTACCATTTAAAATGTCATTTAAATACATTCCTCTTGCAAGAAGTTATGCTTTAGTTCTGTCAAATGCCATGTGCTTGGTGCAGGAATATTGAACTGCAGGACCATGGTTCAAATTGAACATTTCAGACCATAGAAACCCCATGGCCAAAGGAGGCTTTTCAACACATGTGCACCTCATGGTCCAACCAATAAATTTGTTCTTTAGTCTTAAAATATCTGTGGCAGAGAGCTCATATTAACAAACCTGCATATAAAATAAAAAATGGAGTTCCATGCCAAATTTTTATATCCAACTGCAGACAAGTAACTTCTCAAATTCAAGTGGAATTGCTCCAGATTTATTTCAGAGAGCGGTCCTCAGCCACTAGCACTAAACAAACAAGTTAACAATTCTGCTTTTTGATATTTTCATTGTTCTAGTTCTCCTGATTAGAACACTTCAAACCCTCCTTCTCTCCTCCTAGACATACATTGAAAAGCAGGAGCAACAACCCATGAGGTTGTCCCCAAATTTAACACCTTAGCCTCCAAATCCTTAATCTCACTTAACAACTGAAGCCAAAAACAGTTGACATCACATACATTTAATTCAGATTTCTCTGCCATATCACCTTCCACAATCAACTTTTACAGCAGAGATATTGTCCACCAAGAGCACAGCAAGGAACTTCTCCCCTAGTCTATATTTAACTAACCCTTAGCCCACAGAGAATTGCAGGACATGAACCCTGATCTGATAGCTCATATCTGCCAGAGGGGCACAGAGGTCTGTCTGCTGAAAAGATAATGCAAAATACTGGCTCTTTGAAGAGCTGGTCTTTTGAGAGCAAAACCATACCATGAAAGATTTGAACTAGTGGTGTGTGTTTGTTTTCTATTATTTTCCTGGATCATTTCCTGCCCTGGCTAAGCCTCATCATTGGGAACATCTCCTTAACATCAACAAAATCAGCTTCTAGTCACAATTATTAACATGGTCCTTGAAGTCTAGAAACAGAATCTGTGTTTGTGCTGCTTCCAGTGGGGCTGACCTTGCAGGGCTCACATCCTCCTGCCAATTTTTCCAAAGAGGTGATGAAGCACCACGTTAATCCAGGGTTGCAATCATTCGATAACTCATGTAATATTCAGGGCTAACACAGCTCACACAGGCTTGGCATAACAAAATGGAAATAAGATTTCATGCCTTCTTTTAATAGGCACTGTTGCTTCTCTGCAGGGGTATTGCTCTCTGCCTGACTCTTAGATGCACACTTTGGGGACAAATCAAACCAAAAATCGAATATATTTTGCTTCATATCCCAGAGTGCATTAATTTGCTTTATGGCTTACATGTTAAATTTAAGTTGTGTTATATTGTTTATCATAAAATACTGGGTTTAACTATGAAGCAATAGACAAAAGCAAGAGCAAATAAGGCAGAGATGTTTATTACAACAAAGAGCTAATTTCATTACTACAGACTTTCAACTACTATTTAATATGAAGCAGTCTGAGAGGCAAGAGTCTCATTCACCACAGAACAGAGCACACATTCCACTGCAGAAAAGTGCCAAACACAGAGCTTCCCCCTAAAACTTTACAACGTATTTCCAGCTCCCTGGAAAAACTGCTTCAGAAGAGGGTTTTTGGTTGGATTTTTTTCCTGGTTAAGAAACTACTTAAAGACTTCTTTAGTGGAATTATTGTGGTGCCCCACAAAAAGCTGTACAGAAGAACTGGGCTCAGACAGAGATACAGCTGGAAGACTTTCATCCTTCTTTCTGGTTTAGAAAGCATTCCAATTATACCCAAGCATTTATCTCAGCACATAGGTGGAGAGGCATAAACATTTTAATATTAAAATGGTGTTAACGTTATTTCAAAGGAAGAATAAATCTTTAGATAAACCTCTGCATGATATGGGCCAGTTTATTAAATCAGGTGAGCCCGTGAGGAGCATTAAGCAGCAAATGCTGTCTCAAAACTCCAACCACTCCCCTTGGGAGGACTGAGGAGCAGGAGGACCACCCTGACATCCTGCCCTCTCTCCTAGGCTGGCTAACAAATTCCCCCTTACTGGAAGTGTGTTTTCACTCTGTTCAGAAGTCAAAATACCACAGAGTGATTGCAGCATTTTGTGGGATTTAAGTATGACGCCATCCACGATTTTTCAGAATTACACAAGCTCACATGTTTCCTGGGGAGGGGAAGAGACTCCAGGACATCATCTATTTTCTGCTTAACAAGATGTCAAACTATATCTATCAAAAATTCTTACACTATTCATCAAGGATATATTTAATACTTCGTGCACTTTTAAGGGAGCTTCTGGCTTAGGTCTCAATCAAAGTGAAATTATTGGATTTATTGTATTGTTCACAGCTGTTATGCCTTATATCAATCTTTCAGTTTTGTTTTTTTTTCTTACCTCAGAAGGAGTCTCAGTTTTGCAGAAGATGGAAGGAACAGACTGGTAATCTGGGGTTATTTACACAGAAGAGCTGTTCAAGAGTTCCAAAACCTAACAGCTTTGTGAAACCTTTTTCCATTTTTTCCAAAAATAGATAGTTAAATCACATTTATTCTTGAAAACACACCAAAACCCCCAGTTCTTGGTATGCTGCAGGATTTCTGCTGGGAAGATACCAAGGATCAGCTGCACATTTTATAGCTACAGTGGCTCCTTCTCTCACAGTCTCCTACCCCTGCTGACTGTCCCACAAGAACTTGAGGCTTTACCTGACATCAAGGACTTCTCCCCCTCTCACAAACAATACAAGTTGAATTTTTAGGCTCAGAGCTTTTGCTGGTGCTCAGACCTCAACTCTGCCACAAATACCAGGGTGTGAAGGTGCACATCTCTGGTCACTTGTGCAAATGTGGGTGTACTGTCAGCAAAGAGCACGAGCATGAAGATATGTATTACCATTTTCATTAAAACTTCCCAATTAAACTCCAACCAAGTAGACTTCTCTACATGAACCAATGCTTTTGCTTTTACATTTTACCATTTTTGTTATTCTAATAATAGAAACTTTAATTCTTCAAGAAGCATACCTGTGAGATATAGCCAGGAGGCACATGAATAGGGGGAATGGATCCATTGGGTGACATCATGGGAACCTCTGCTGGTCCTAATAGAGAGAGAGTAATAAGATATCAGGGTTTTTTTCAGTTAAAAAAAAAAGCATAATTGCTTAGAAAAGGTTAAAAATAGCTTTATTTTTGAAGCCTGCAATAACAAAATGAGCTGCTCCACTAATTTCTGGTATATGGAAAATGCCTTGTGCCATCATTCTGAGAATAAGATCATTGTTCAATGACTTTACCATATATTCTGCTGAAATAATATTTTCACCATAAAACAGCTAGAACATAGACTTTATATTACCCACTGATCAACTTATACAGCATTAAGCAGTAACACAATATGTCCTTTAGCAGCCCACAATTCCTATATTGAACTCTGTTTAAGTTATTCTTGTGGAAGACATAGGAGCAGGGAACAAAGCAGAAACTGTGCAGCCTGGAATTAGGCAGCTCCCAAGGAAAGCGTCCAATTGTAGCAAAAAAAAAAAAAAAAAGTCACATATGTGAAAAACTATCTATCTATTTAAGAATGCACAAAGACCAAATTCATTATCTCAGCTATTCAGACTAACCTTGGAATGTGGTTATACAAGCAAGAAGCTTATGGTTTCCACTCTGAAATCCAGCCCTGAACATGTAAGTTCCATTTTGAGGCACTGAGTACAAGTACAACAAAGCGAGTGCCATAACCACTGTGCTTCTGGAAATGGAGCCTCACAGCTAAAAGAAAGTGTCTAGATAAAATGGAAATAGTTCTCTCAACTGCTCGTTGATTCACCCATTAACTTCAGGAACATCACATGGAGCAGCCAGTAAAACAAACCCCCCAAACATCAGACAGATGTTTGCCATCAGAGTTTACTGCTTGGAAAAGAAAAATTAATTTCATTCCTTCCTTATTACATATTAAAATCTGACACTGAACTGTTAATTAGCCCATTTGCCCCCATTGTCAAACTCTTGAGAGGAGCTCAGCAGGACTCTGCTCTTTGTCACTGCAAACTGAATTTCAGCTTTGACTGACAACACAAAAGGTAATTCCATCACCTTCTCTGATGGAGAAGCCATCCAACATCTCCAAACAATATCACATTCTAGGGAAGGAAGCTGAACACTAAAACATATGAAGCACTTCAGGCACAGATGGGATGCAATGGCCTGTAGGAGTGACTGCTCCTAAAATTTAGACTAATCTAATGAAATCTCCAACAACAAACTGAGTCACAGTCTGTTGTGTGATATCAGCAAAACCAGTCCACATTAAATTGGCAGTCATTCCCTATCCATCCTCATTTTTACACTCCTGCTGCTTCTGGTACAATCAGAATGTCCCACCTCCCAAAATCCAAGTTACACACAGAAATCCATCTGAGTTATTTTTACCTCATCTTATCTTGGTTTGTTTTCTCTATCCAGTTATTTACAGTCTAACCAGCCCTGGCAGCTTTTACTACTCACATCTAGGTTTCAAATATGGTAAACCATCATCAAGTGTAAAAGGCAAAAGGGAACTGTGAAGCTTAAATCTAAATATTTTGGATCTGGTTTTGCTGGACTTCATACTTTCCTACACTTAACTATGTGGGGAACTTTACCTACACTACAGGCCCAGTAAGGGGAAAAAAGTTATTACTTACTATTCAGCTCATATGGATTTCTCTCTTACCCTATGGCCCTCACAACAATATTTGTCTCCCCAGACAGCCAACAATTTTAGTGTCAATGGAAAAAATTCAGCCTGAACAGTAAGTGATTATTGGGAAGGAGCTGCCATCTAAATGGCTTTATTTAAATCCATCAAAAATATGAAGTGACAATTGCTTCAGAACAGAAGTATTGTTTGAATAAATGTGTTTTCCCAATCAAAAAAAAAAATCTCTGCAAACTCCTTTTGAGTTTTTCATTTCTCTCTGAATCCACTTTGGCCTGTACACAATGCCAAGTTTTGCTGCACAGTAAGTTGGACAGTACATGAAAGGTAAAGGTTGATATTGTGAACATGCAATGATGCTTTTTTCGAGATTTAATCCACACTGGATTATCAAGAGCTGTTCAGTTTTTCAGGACAGAAAAACTTGCTTGAAAATATACAAATGAATAGTTAACAGTTATGCAACACATTCCTTGCCAGTGATTCCTCAAACTCCAACAACTGCAAGAAAAACTGTTGATACAAATTTTAAAATCCTGAGTTCACCATTTAAATAGACAATAATTTAAATATTGCACATAAATGTTGCTCAGTAGAATGAAGCTTTATGCATAACCTGTTTCAGCCCCTCACCAAAACTTCTTATTGTTGTATTGGCCAGTCGTTCTCAAAAACAGCTATTCTGACTTGGAAATAAACTTAAAAATTGAACAGTTTTGGAGTTTCTACATAGACAGCATACATATACCACAAATAAGCAGCACTTTTCTGGCATGCCTCATATCTGTCCCTCCAAACCTTGTGCCAACTGCTCATATGGAGTAGTGATCTACTAGCAGGAAGAAATCAAACTCCCACACTGATATTGTTGACTGCAACACTTCCACTCCAATAAAAAAAAAAAGTAATATTGTGTTTTATCATCGGAACGTGCACCGTGCAAGATGAGTCTTAACCTTGCATATGACCCACAAACTGTTAAAGTCATTTGGATAACAGGTTTTAAAAGACTGACAGCCTGGTGATTTGCAGCTAGATTTTGTTTCCAGTGCTTTGATTTCAGGGTTAGCCAAACGACTTTAGCACACATTATTGCATTCCTCTCATCAATGGTATCAAAACAACTTCAAGTGGTAGTAAAATAAAGACACTCCCCCCCCCCCCCACCTCCACAGCTCAACAAGTCCCAACAATTATTCAAGATTCTTCTTGTTATCCAGCCATTCCCTAATTAACACTAAAATAAAACCATACCTTTTGTTTGGCTTGAGTTTGGTTTTGAGGTTGGGATTTTTTTTTTTTTTTAGTATTTTTGGTTATTTCAAATCGTTTTGACGTGTTAAAAAGCAGAAGAGGATGTTCCTCAGCTGCTTGTATTCACAGGATGCTGTAAGTAACTCTTGGGAATCACAGCCTTGCAAGTTTTAATTGAAGCTCGTGGTTCAATACAAAGTTTACTTTAAATGAGAAAACGTCCATCCATTCTATCAGAGATGCTGCACACTGAAGTGAGCTCCCTGGAGTACTTTGCAAACCTGTTAACAAATGCAGATTATCTGCCGAGTTCCTAATGAAACTGAGCCAGCAGCGCTTGGCCACCTCTGCTGACAAAGCCAGTGGCCAAATTCCACACCGAGCTCCTTTCCCAGGAATACAGCACATCTCTGGCTCCTGGAGGACTGCCCTGTCCAAAATGCAGGTGCAAGGAAATTGCTTCCCCTCCTCTGAAAGAAGAGGAAAAGCAGGAGCCACGAGGCTGGAGGCACCAATATCCACCTCGCCAGGCAGGAGACAAACCCCAAGGGTCCCCAGCTGGCAGAGCACCATTTTCCTATTTCTAACACATTAATATTTAACAGAATAAAATTTTGAATAAGTAAAAGAAGCAACTCAGTCTCATATAGTGGCAGAACTAATTAACACCTTGACACCCCAGTCTGAGCCTTTCCTCCTCTTCCCAAACACCTATTCCCTTTGTGCTGCTCTGTCACCCCTCTGAAGGCATTAGAGCTGATTATTTTAACCATTTCAGACAACCAACAAAGTTCTGTAAATCTATTACCTTTTTAAAGAACATCTGCACGCTCAGTCTAACAAAAATGATAACAACAATCATTCTATTCCTTCTAATGCCATGCTTTATTGGGTGACTTTATTGCACATCAAAACAGGGCTCCCTTCCACCTCTGTCTCCCACTCGCCCTGGCAAGAGGATGCTCCTGTCAGAGTCTGACAGTTCTTCTGGTCATTTTTATTCCTTCTGGAATAATGTCACAATGTACTTGAGAAACTTCTGTCCCAAGATTTTCAAGGCTAATTATAGCCTGGGGTTGCAGCTCACGACACTTTCAAAATTCTTGTACAAAACCAGTGTGCTTTTTTCTTGTTCCCTAGTGACCTTTAATACATGCATTAAAGATCACTTTAATCAGTTTTCTTTCCTTAAATTACAGAAGCCAGAATCTAGCATTTCAGTTCCTCCAGCTACAGCAACACTTCTTTCCTATTTCTCTCCTTCCATGTAACATTATAGGGCAAAGAAGTCATTTTACCACACCATTTTCATGAGTGCTTAGAGAGCATTGCTTTTCTTTATTATGTCCCCTGTAGAATATTTTTCACATCCAGCTCCACCACATGGGCATATGTTTTACACAGAGTTTCCAGTTTTGCAATTACCAAACTCTACCAGGCTTCGTTATGAAGTTCCCATTCTGAGAGCAGTTACTGGAAATTTCCTGAAGTTCAGGAATTTCTCAGCCCTGTTTCCAGCAAACACACCAATTTCATACCACAATACCTGCACTAGCACAGAAACAATATGAAATTTAGTGATTTTGCAATTTGAGTTTGAAAGTTAAGAATCCTGTACATTTTAATAACAAGAACCTACTGAACAAGCTAAGTAAAAAATTAAATCCAGGGAGGTAAATGCATTAAACTTTATAAAGCTTAGCAGTTAAAATTAACCCATGAAAAATTATTCTGCCTCTCCCTGATCCACAACAAAACTGGTATCACTTCTTTCATGTGTGGTGCTTCTCAGGAAGCAAACCTATGGAGCAAGAGGTGTAACAGAATGAAAAGGAGAGATAATTAAAGGGCAAATTGGTCTGCTTTGCTAAAACAAATGACCCAGGGCTTGCTGACCTTGGCTGGGACCCAAGGGTTTGCATTTTCACATGGATGAGCAGCTGTTCCGGAACAATTTCCTCAATGAAACAAGCACAAACAGGCTCCCTGTCAGGCACACGTGTCTTCTCCCTCCACTTGGTTATTCTCAAAGAGGCTTACGGACTAAACAAGGTGATGACAAGGAAAAAAAAAAAAAACAACCCTGGATCCTTCCATTCATCATCTTGCCTGCACAGCAGAGCTGTGGTGAGCATTTCC